GCAAACCAAATTTAGTAGTACAACCAAAAGATTATATACCATGATCAAATGGGATTTATTCCCAAAATGAAAGACTGATTTAATATCCACAAATCAATAGACATGATACACCACATTAACAACATAAAAGATAAAATCATATGATCATTTCAATAGATACAGGAAAAGCATTTAACAAAATCCAACATCAATTTAAGATAAAAACTCTCAGCAAAGTGAGAATAGAGGGAACATGCCTCAACATATTTATATACCACATATCTAACAAGACTTGTATCTAGGCTATGTAAAGAACTCTCAAAATTCACAATACAAAAAGCAAACAAACCAGTTGGAACATGGGCAAAAGACATGAAAGACATACACTAAAGAAGATATACAGACAAAAAATCAACACATGAAATGGTGCTCTAAATCATTAACCATTAGGGAAATGCAAATTAAAACTGCAATGAAACTCCAGTACACATCAATCAAAATGTCTAAAGTTAAAAAGTGACAACACTAAATGCTGATGAGAATGTGGAGAAACTGAATCACTCATACATTGCTGGTGGGACTGTAAAATGGAACCACCACCTCTGGAAAATAATGTGGCACTTTCCTGTGGTGTTTATGTACAAAATATGATTTATAACACAACCACAATGTGAGAGGCCCTGTTATAGGGCTCTCATGGTTTCCAGAAATAAAAATCCTTCAAGACAACTTAAACAAAAAAGAAGTTATTCTATCATTGAATATTTAAATGATAGAGATTTCTCATGAGAACCAAGAGTAATAAATTCACCTGGGCATCACAAGAGCCTAGATCCAAGAACTGAGTTTATTCTGTTTCTTTGCAGCTTCTTTCCCACTTCATAATACACGTGGTCAAAGAGGGCTGGCACCAGCCCCAGCTTTACATCACTTACCAGTTCAAAGGCCTGACAAACACCTACAGGTACTTCTAAATCCAAATTACAAATACCTTGGGGAGTGAATAGGTTTGTCTCAATTTGGGTCAGATGCACATCCATAATCCAATTATCCATGGCCAGGGAGTAAGATCACATGGTACAACACAGGCACAAGAGCCCACTTCTGTAGGTGAAAGGTGGTTCTCAGAAAAAGCTTCTGGGACAAGGCAGAGCTTAGAAAAATTAAAGAGTTGGGGTTAGAAAGATGACTAAGGTTTTCTAACATATGACCTCTAGGCCTTTATCTCTAAGTGTATACCAAACGTCTCCACCTGCCTGTCCCATCAACAACTCAAACTCAACATATTGAAAGTAGAAATATTTAATTCCCTTCCCACTCACCCCATTTACACACACACACACACACACACACACACACACACCCCTTGTTCTTTCTCTTGTATTCAAATTACCAACTGAAAAACCTGGAAGGTATCTCCAGCTTCCTTCCCCTTCTTTAGATCATTGAATACTATTGACTCTTCCTCCTGTTTTATAATTTATTTATTTATTTATTTATACTCTACTTTATTCAGAATGAGGACCATATGAAAATGTCTACCTTGCAATAAGATTTTTTTACAATAAGAAAAAGTGAATTCTGAGACAAAATACACCCCATTTAGGTTCTGCACACATGCAAAATGAGGGCTTTCAACATGGTCCTTGAGATTCTAAGAAAAGCCTCAAGGGGAAATATTCCAAATATTCCATGGATAATTGGATTATGGATGTGCATCTGACCCAAATTGAGACAGGGTAGAAAAAAATCACTCAATCAGAGATCCAAAAAGAAAAAAACTATTAAAAAACAGGAGGACAGTCTAAGGGAGCTGTGGGACAACATGAAACATAACAATATTCTCTTCATAGGAGTGCCAGAGGAGGTCGAAAGTAAGGAAGAGTTAGAGAACCTGTTTGAAGAAATAATGGCAGAAAACATCTCTAACCTGGTGAGGGGAAAAGTCACACAAGTTCAGGAGGCACAGAGAGTCCCAAGCAAGAAGAATCCAAAGAGGCCCACCCCCAGAAACATCATAATTAAAATGCCAAGAATTCAAGACAAAGAGAGAGTATTAAAGGCAGCAAGAGAAAAGCAATCTGCTACCTACAAAGGAGCTCCCATAAGGCTGTCAGCTGACTTCTCATCAGAAACTCTACAGGCCAGAAGGGAATGGCATGAAGTATTCAAGGTAATGCAAAACAAGGATCTGAAACCAAGACTACTCTATCCAGCAAGGTTATCATTCAAAATAGATGGTGAAATAGAGCTTTCCAGACAAAGAAAAAGCTAATGGAGTTTATCACCACCAAACCAGCATTACAGGAAATGTTAAAGGGACTGCTGTAATAAATAATAAGAAATAGAGAGAGAAACATAGGCATAAAGAATTAAAATGGCAATAAATAAGGACCTATCATTAATAACCTTAAGGACTTTAAGGGAGAGATCAACAGCAATACGGTCATAATCGTGGACTTTAACACCCCGCTGACTTCACTAGATAGATCTTCTAGGCAAAAAGTCAACACAGGAACAGTGACTAAATGGCACACTAGATCAGATGGATTAAATTGATATTTACAGAACATTTCACCCCAAAGCTGCAGAATATACATTCCTCTCAAGTGCACATGG